GCCTTATTATAGTCATTAATAAATCATGGTCTGAGCTAATAAGAAATTGCAGGCGCTTCATAAATTTTAGCAATTATACTTTACATATATTTTTTGTTTAAATCTAAGTAATTGAGTGAAATATAGAAACAAATGAACCACCACGTGTTTATTTAACCCTGGGTTTTCCTACTGTGATCTTCTCAATTTATTTGTTAGTGTATTTTTAATAAAACTTCGGTATACAACTGTTTTGTAAATATTAATACTTTTCTACGCACTGTCGCTGTTTTGTATTCCGTTGCGGTGCGCCCTGGCCCCAGTTACTTTGTTATGATCCAATAATCTGCTTCGGAAACTTATCTCCAATAACCACTTCCTGTGAAGGAACGCATTTGTATTCCTTACACAAACTTTTTCTTTAGATATAACTGTTGATAATAAAACGATTTCTACCAGTCCCTTATAAATTAGATATCTTAATACTGCAGGCGTCGCAATTGATTTTGGCTATGTCTAGCAACAGCTATCTCTGTCAAATATCTTGTTAAATATAGTCACGCCATGTAGAATATACATAGTCATAAATACAATAGGTATATTTACACATTTGTACATTTTTAAAAAACCTTATTTACCATGTATATGGTTCCTATACATAGATTCATAACATGTTGTTATCTATACTTCTATACTAATATTATAAAAAGAAAACATTTGTATTTTTTTATGTATTGAAATAACTCAAAGACTACTAAGAGGATTTCGTAATTTTTTTTTACTATTAAAAAGCTACCTTGTCAGTGAGTAATAAAGGTTATATATAATGACTATTCTTTTAGTTTTAAGCGGAGTGGCAAACAAGAGCTAGTATTTAAGTTAAAAGAGTAAATAATACTACTCATACAAAGTTATATAAGTTATCGTAAGTTGGCGGTAAGCTGTACACGGCACGTCGCATGTCACAAATGGGGGCCTACAGCCTCCTGAAACTTGCCAACTTACATGAAGCACTTCCGTTAAGTTGTTCGAACTTTTATAAGAATCCCGAGATTGTTACATTATTAAGCTACCTTTATAACTTATTTAAATCGCTTATTTAAAGTTCAGTTAAGAGCAACCTATATCACACTGTAAAAATACTCTTAAAATTACTGAAGCTTTTACAGAAATATTTTTACGGTGAAATAGAGTTGGAAAGAAAAATCTCTACATTTTTGTTTTCTCTATAATTATTATTTATCAACTATTATATTTCTAAGTATCGTCTTACTACCATGGATCAATATATTTTCAGTTTCAGTTAACTGCATATGTTATTAATATAAACATAGATGCTACCTAGTCAATAAAAAGATACATATACCACAGGTCAATTATGTTTTTCTTAAAAAGTATGTTCTCCATAACATTTTATTTATATTTTATAGAACTACCCTCGTTTCGTTAAATTCAGACCCTCGCCATCGTCTATAAGAAAGAAAATAACAATGCAATTTATGAAAATTTGCTTCGTTTTCTTCGAGAGGTTATTACCATTCAAGGGCTTTGCTTTTTATTTCTTTCCAAATAACATGGCTCTTGAATGGAAGGATTTTGTATTAAATTTAGTATAGAGTAAACACTGATAGATGTTGTTCTACGTGTAAAATTAATCGGAAAAATCCATTAAATCGCTTTACATGTAATTAAATAGGAAAACGTAACTAGGGAATTTTTCAAACCAATTTGTAAAAAGAATTATCGAAAATACTTTAACTGTAGTTTACAATAGACACTATTATTTATACCGATACCAAAATACTTGCAGTTTTTAATAACTTTAATACAGAGAAAGGAGACACTATTTTTAATGATATATGGGCATAATATTTAAAGTAAATGACAATTGGTTTATCCATACGGCTGATATGAACCGAGACGTGCATGTATTCTATGGCAGGTCAAATAATCAAACCATTCGTCAATTACCAACAGGGAAAGTACACAATAAAGCAATATATCAAAAACGATAACAATATTATATAAATATACTATTCCTTATGCTTTGTTATCATAAGCTCTTGCGTATTGACGTTAATAACACGACAGAAAGTAAAATAAAATGAACAAATTTTTTATCGAATTTATTATCCTCTTAGTACTGAAAACGGCAGGATTCTTAATAAAAAAATGTATAGATCAAATGTACAGAATTTCAAGAATAATTAAACAGAAAATGTCATACGTTTTGACGCTACGATTCATTTTCGGCGCAAATCAACACGAAAATGAAACGAAGAGAAGAACTGAAAACAATCATAAAGGAATTTTGAAGACAGTAACAGCGTGTCCCTTAGGATTAATATCAAATGTTGTTAATAAAATAAAGGATTCTACATACGGTATTCAAAATAACTCGGGAACTGAAAAATCGGAAGACAGGGCCGTAGAAATTAATCATGAAAGAGGGCTTTTAGGAAGCATAATACCAATTCCCATAAAATTAATATCGCAACCAATTGAAATATTAAAGAATTCATACGATATCGTTGCAAATAAATCCGGGACTGTAAAAACATCAAGACCTGAGGAAATTAACAATAAAGGACTTTTGGGGACTATCACAGCAATTCCTGCTGGAATATCACAGGGAATACAAGGAATAAGGAGTTCTGTTTACAATATTATTGCAGATAAATTAACAAGAAATATGGGAATTAATCTTATGGATAAAGAAGAATAAACTTTAGGAGACAAGTTATGATTTTTGTTTAATTGATCTTTGAAGACGTGAATTTTAACAACGATAAGTTATTAAGTACCATCTTGTCATTGATTTAGAGTCTCAAGAAATAGACAGTTTTTTTCAGACTTTCCGCTCTATCTCAAGATGAAATATTAATTTTGACAATCTCCCCATGAAGTTACCCCCGGGTATCTCGGAGATATTATCATGCAGGACCGGTCACGAAATCGGTCGGTTTATTACGGCGCGCTTTATTACGTCCCCCGTGGCTCTTACCAAATCAACACCGAATATCATATTTGGGAATAAACGAAGTAATAAGGGAAAACATCTTTATATATTGCTTATTGATATCATATAAAGAAATTCCGATTCTTTTTCTCATACTCCTTTACTTTTACTAGTGATGAACTCAATACAATGTTAGAGAATAACTCGTAAAGGTTGTGGCGTTACGCCGTGTAACATCGAAGATGTTTCCCCGTAAAGTTACTGAATACATTAATGCTAGCCGTGTAGCATACCATGTAACTTCATTTACGGGTTATGAGAATTTAAATGTTTGACAATTACGTCATGAAAATCTTCATTTTATTATGCGAATAGATAATTATATTCTCCATTCAAATTGATCACGAATGTCTCGGCCACCTGGCATTCGGTTTACGAGCAAATAAATTAGGTTTAATTAAATTTGCTACAAATGTAAGGACTAAAACGTTTTTGTTCCTGCAATCTTGTTTAAATGAATGCCATAGAATTTCTTAATTAAAGTTATGTTAATTTGGATACAAATTACATAATTTCTGTACATATGGAGGAATTGTTTTTAATTATGTTTCAGTCGTATGCGATATCTAATGTATACTATTTAATAAAGCGTAAACACACACTTCTTCGTTGCCTAAGATGTCAGCAATTACACCATATTTTTGAATAATTCTTTTTTTTAATAAAAAGCTATACACTAACGTCACGCTTTAGGCTATATGTTTTCACGCCATTAATTTTTCAAACATTTAGGGGGTAAATATTTTTGATAAAATCCCTAATGTGGGAAAGAGACCATAAGTTGTTGCCAACATCAAGGAAGCAAAATTGCCATGCTTTGTCATCATGTCAGTCGGTCATTTTGACATGATGGCAATTGAATTTGACAAATGTAATCAATAAAACAATTTTCATAATTTCATGCGAATGAAGTCGCATGGGAACAGCTTGTATAGAATACGTCCTTTGTTATCTTTACTCTGTTATGTATTTAAATAATAAGGCATTCGTAAGGTTAAATTTTCTTTAAATTGCTTTTTACTTTTGGGACATTTTCGTAAATAAAACAATATTTTTTAATAAAAATATCACATTTTATTATTAATACAATGATATGTTAATAATAGCTTAAAGGAATCTATTAAGTTGTACATTAACTTTGATTAAAACTAAGTTATTATTATATTAGAAAACAAGTTATTGTGATAAAGTTATGATTAAAGCAACTATTGCTTTAATTATTGTTATTTAAAAATATTATGACGTTAACAAATATTACTCGTAAGTATGACTAAAATTAAAAGCTTTTCTTTGTTTATATTTTAACTAACAATCAAGCGTAAACATCACTAACTGTAATCAATAAAAAAAAGTGTAAATACAAAAAAGAACTTTTTTTAAAAAATGTTCTCATAAAATAGAATTAACAAACTACAATCAGTCAGTAAAATTAGAATGAAGTAAACCTATTACAAATGCGACGTTCCGTAAAATTGACTCGAGAAGCGATATAATTAAATAATAAAAGGGGCGAGGGACAAGAAGCAAAGTGCGAGGGGCCAAGGGCAAAGGGCA